CCGATTAGGAAGGCCTCCGTCAAATGTTGGGCGACGCAATACAATGGTATACTATAGAGTAGCGAATAGTGTGCAGTGGTCCTACATGTGTTCCGACAGTAATATAAAGTTAGATAAGTAAGTGGTACAGGGCTAGGGTCAGTGCGCGGGCTTCCAGCCCACGAAGCCACGTAGAGAGCGACACAGCTCTGGCGATGACGAGCGCGCTGCTGTGGAGGCGATGGCGGCCGTGCGATTCCGCCAGATGCGCCAGTCGGGAGACGGCTCGGGCTTCGCCCAACCAAATTCCGAATTGATGCGCCCACGCATCGAAATTCTGTCGGTCATGTCACTGGAACAAAAAATCAGAAACAAGCTCGGGGCGGACGGAACAAAGCGTACTGTTCCCAGTTTCTCCATTCGGTCTCGAATGCCTCTCGCGGGGAGTGTTTAAATGGCCTCACCCGGGCGTCTTTCGGGCGCGATGTCCGAGTGATCGGAGGGAGGTCACCGGGGTAGAGTTGTTCATATTCGGCCCACAACGCCTCCTTGCACGCCGTAACGGTTCTCACCGTCTTGGCAAGGTGCATACGTCCCCAGAAGGGGATTGCTCGCTGGGAGCCGCCGGACTTGATTGACGAGGCGTCGGCGTCGCTCAGTGCCCGACCTCTCTCTCCTACGGTAGAGCTTAGGTCAAAGAGGATGTCGGCGTCGAACGAGTCGTGGCTGCCCCTTGATCCCACGTCGGGGGTAGTCGAGCTTGGAGGGAGGGATATCTGTAGCGACGGATGTGTCTGCACATTTTCAAAGAATGACGAAAGGTAAAAGGGAAGGACTGTGACGAGGCTGGCAGCCAGGAATCGACGCGAGAGCATGGCATCCCATGCAGTTTTGAGCCGTGTGTGGTCTTGAGGGTGAGCATCGGTAGTTATGATCTCCATATCCTGGGGAAAGAAAGTGGTATTGCGGGAGCTCAGCGGGGGTATTGCATCAAAGGATATAGTTAGTGCGCCAGACGAGGACTCGGGCAGTGTCGGGAGACTGGGTTTCTTTTGTACGCGGTAAACGTCTGGGCTGTCGGGGATGCTCCAGATATCGGATAGTAGGGTGTGGGAGCTTTGGCTGCTGGACCAAGCACTGTGTGGCGCTGAGTCCTTGCGCTCGCGGCCTGAAAAATCGAGGTTCAAGGGGGCAAGGTGTGATCGAGTGCGCGGAGGTGAGCACGGAAATATCAGATCCTCCTCAATGATCTGGGAGCATACTGATAAAACTCGATTCACAGCCAAAGGGGGAAATGGTACCTCGAGGACGCCGTTAGCCTTCATTACCCGCGAAACTTCCTGTAAAATCATACGTTGAGTCAGGGAATATCAGTTGCGAATGAGATGTACCTCTAGCACGAATTGCCACTGCACCGACATCAGCGACGCGTATTTGACCACAAAACTGCACTCACCTCGTCCTCGGGTACGCCCAGTCCAATACCTGCTATGTGCACGAAATCAAAATGATCCGACGCGAAAGGGAGACCGTCCAAGCTGGAACATATTATAGAAGACGATCGGGAGGCTATGGAATTATTGGGCTTACAGGTTCCCGTGAATCCATCTGAGACGGCCACCTAATGCATCGGCTATTGGGAGTGGGTGCGGGGTCTTCCCCGCGTCTTCCAGCGCGCGCATGTAATATGCATCGAGTTGCGGGAGCTCAGGCTGGATCTCCTTGAGGTCGAATCCGACTACTTGCGCCTCCTGGCCGAGCGTCAGAATTTGGCTATAGCCTTTTCGAGTAACGAACCGGCCACTGCTTGGCAGCTTCCATCGCCCAATAACCACCACCGCACCCGAGATCAAGTATGACCTGCGGTGGTGTGTCAAACTGATGCATTGTCAGTCCTCCTCCATAACAGCTCCGGAGGAACATCTGATCCCAGTTGTCACTGTCAAGGCGGTTGGATAATGTCAAGAAAACGAGCGAGAGGATTACAAGTTGACCATGTCTGGGGAATAGTCGAGCGGGTAGGGGACCTCGCCGGGTCTGCGCCTGCAGGCCCTCTGTTTGAGGAGGAGGGCCTGGACATCCTTTTGGGGGGTCTGTGCGGCAGCACCGAACGGTGGCGGCGGCGGGGTAATCTGGGGGGGCATGGGTATAGAAAAAGATTGTGGGGTGAAGACAAGGGTCGGAGACAAGTGCTTATGCAGCTATGTTTCCGTTCGCTTAGACGACATAAATAAGGGCAAGGCCATTGCGAGGATGGTTCATGAGCCTTCCCCTTTTGGCCCTTTTCATTATTATATTTCTCCCGTGGATGCCGTCCACGTGCCACTAATCCCTGACCATGCTCCCCGTCGTCCGTCAGGTCGCCCGCCGCGCGTGCCCGCTGCGAGCGCGCCACTACGCGACGCCTGCGAAGGAGCCAAACCCCCAGTACAATGGCTACCCAGAACTCCCTGAAGTCTCCGCCCAGTACCGCCCGCCGCTCGGCTGGCAGGACCAACTCTTAAGGCGCAATTTTGGCGACACGGTCCGTCTCCAGGTCCCCGTCCCCACCGTGTTAATCTCGCTCACTCGCACCAGGTTCACCACCACGAGGAGGTCCTGTCGATGTGGGGCCCTGACATTCCCGTCATCCCGCCAGCACAGGCCCTGCGCCAGTTCCTCGCCGCCGCCGCGTGCTTCGTGTCCGCCGGGCTCTTCATGCGCTATTTCCTAGTCCCAGAGCGCCCCTCGATACCCCGCGAGCTCCCATTCGGTGGCCTCGTGACGGAACTCGGCGGCCACAGGGTGCGCCCACCTACATCCTGCTCCGTGTTGTCTGGTCTGACATTTGGCAGGCGAACCCAGAAGCTGAGAGCGACGAGTGATGCGTTGGCGCTCCGTGATTGTACCGAACCACCACTATCATAAAGAAACGAAAGTCTATATTTGATCACCCTTTTGTTGACGCAATATGGAGGGAGCTGGGAGTCCGTCCGTCCGCAAGTTCGGCTTGCCGTCCGGCGTCAAGCTAAAGCCCAAACCCTTTTGCGCCCTCCCTTCTGATGCGAATCAAATGAATGCAAGAAAATCACTCGGCTGCACCGCTGATGCCCGCTTTACGGGATCATCGATTCAACAGACTCGGTACTGGGCTAGGCAATTCTGGCCAACTGCGTCACGAACTGACGATCTTGTGAGCACCATTTCCGATCATTAGGGTCTGCTAGGGTCTGAATTCGCCGCGTTCGTACCCTCACGACGGATAATCTCCTCCACTTCTTATCCACATAAGCGCCTTGAGACGTAATCTATCCCGTTATCAATAACCGATGTTCGGTGACTTTTCATCCCCTCTGCAGTGGAGGATGGGAAGCAACATCTTGGCGCCACTGATCGCTCATATAGGTTAACATCATAACATCGGCCAGGCGCATTCGACAGAGGTCGACAACTCCGCCCGAAGAGTGATATTTGGGTCCATTTCAGTTACTTATGCTATAGCCAACCCGCGACTGAGATCATTCAGGTCTGAAGACTGGCTTGGCCTAACAACATCGGCAAACAGTCATTAGCATCCTACGATAGCCTCCGACACATCCCGTTACCTGGCGCACTTACGACTTTCATTCATCATGTCAGACTCGTGAAGTGTTGACCGGGCACTTCAGTCAAGCACAAGTGTACGTATTTGGTGATTTTTCTTTTGGTTGGAAAACCGTGTTTTGACTGACTTGAAGATGATAATCAGATAACCCGATCTGGAATCCTATTCAGTACACCAAGAAGACGGTTGTTGTAGATGACCGAAGCGCGGTGCAGAATTAGAGCACACTTCCCGTACATTGTGTCTCTAGTACTAGGCCCGTAGATCTGAGCGATGTACAGTTTTACTGTCTCCGTAGTTCCTGATAGGCTCTTTTCAGTGGGCATTGCTGAAGGTTAACGTCAAAAGAGCTGTGTTTGGAAAAGGGCGTCCAAAATAGCATCGACTCGTGTGTGGGGCTCCGTGCAAGAGGTGATTGATCTCTGGATCAGCCAATAAATCCCACGACCCCCCCCCCCCCCCTGCGTGGGAATGATGGCCACTCACAGCACGATCGCGGTGCCCATCAGCCGCGCCACTTCAGACCGTCGCGTCGCCACTCGTCGTCCCGCCCGCCCGCCTCTGGCTGTCATCCCTTCGCGTGCATTCCTAGCACATTACTCTGCAGCAACAATGGAGCCCTACCTCTGTATATGATGCACATAGAACCCTGTCAAATAATGCCAATTTTCCACGAAGTTCTTCCACTGTATCTACTACTACTAGCAACAATGCTCCGAGCCCGGAACGAGGGGACTGGAGTACGGGGACGCGCGAGGTTCTCTGTCCCAAGTGTTCTCAATGGGTAAAGCATGGATATGATTAGGCGATGCCAAGAGGCAGCTACAAGTGGGTGATGCAACATTATTAGAGGCTGGTTCACTGACAGACTGTGAAACTCTGCCGGAGCAGGCGCGAGACACGTTGACAAAGGCAATCTCCATCACCCGCGACGAGGAGAGCCGGTTGTTGGGAACATCACAGCTCGATGGTGAGACCCAGTCCACCAACTCAGGCCGGAAACGCCAGCCTAGTTCTCCCGCGGGAACACCCCGCCGCTCCAGAATACTGAAGACGTCGGCTCAAAGAGTGGTAGCTGTCGCACGCCAGGAAACACAAGAGACCATCAGTTCCTCTTCGAGTACAGATGTATTCACATAGATATAGCGCTACAGAGAGATCCAATGCTATGGGTATCGTTTGCCAGCCATAGGACGTCCGAACGGAGTGTTAGGGAGCAGTTGGCGAGTGTGAGCCTGAGGCGAGAGGGATAACTGAAGTCCGAAAAGAGATGTGGCTGTGCTGCCGATGATCCGACCATCAAATCAGTGGCCAGATCGTATTGACTGATCCAGAGATCAATCACCTCTTGGCTCCGTGCTTATGTTTCGAATAAATGAGACGATATCGTAGGCGTGCAAAAGATACTTGACGACCGAAAAGTCAGGTGAAAAAGAAGTAGCATCAACTCGCCTCGATCGAGTGACCTCGGGGTCACCGGATTACATAATCCTATGGGCCCCGCGCGCTGCCAACTGCGCCATGATGCTGATGTACTGGCTTCAGAATGAGAATATATATCAGACCAGTATCAAAGGGCTGTGTAAATGCACGTGACAAGTCCACGACCGCGATTAAATTAATAATTTATTATTATTATTAAATAATTAAATGAATGATTGTATAAATTTTGAGCCTGAGAGACTGTCGTAAAAGTAGTCTGGACATCTGTGTAGCTCCACTGTGTGTCTATTGTTGAGGAATCTCCACAGTCTGGGGTGCACAGACAACAACAATAATCAGAGAACCCGTTAAACATGCAAGAGTAAGGTTCAAACTTCGATCTGCCCCCATTAACAAAGACTGGTCAACACCATGTCTCAGCTTGCCCTATCCCAGATTTCCTACATCTACAAGACTCGAGGCTCTAATTGTTGTTGATCCTTGAATGCTATGAGAGTATATGTTCTGCCAAGTTCTTGCAAAAAAGACACTCTGAAAATCATTTCTGGACTTTATCTTTGCCCAAGGAACTCTCTCTCATTCCCAGCATCCAAATTGCCACATTGAGACCAGAGCAGTTGTTTATTTGGTTCAAGACACATGTACTCTTTTGCTCCCTTCTTCCTCTACTGGGTAGATTCATAATGCGGCTTTGAAAGATGTTTTCCACTAGAATTAAAAGGGCTATCCAAGTAATAAATGGCTCCAACCCCCCTCCACCATGACAACCACCAACTAACTGCACGATTCGACCAGACTCCGGAGTTGGAATTAGTGTCACACCGATTGCATTTTGTAACTTCGTTGTATATTTAGAGGTGTCCAAAATGCTTCCCACACCACATAGAATAACTCGTTTATTTTACAGTCTCAACTTCATGCCAGCAGGACAACAACACCGATTACCTGCGACACAACACCAGTAATCTTTCTTTTGATCCCCTGTCTCCCTCTTCCGACCTCACATGGGGAAGGGTCCACGTGCAAAAAGGCCAAGTGTTTTTTAGCGGAGCGAACAGAGTGCATGAGGCCAGTGTTTCTGAGCCAACAAACAGCCTGAGGTGCCTGGGGTCCAGGTGTTTTTGAGCAAACAGCATGTGAGGGGCCAGGTGCTCCCTCCTAGTATCTATCAAGACTGAAAGCTGGGAGCACCCGTGTAACACTAACAGCTACAGTGCCCTGTTTCGTTAAGGTTGAAAAGGGGAGCGACTTAGAAAAATTTTAAGCTGCCCAACAGTCACTCTAGCAGCTGAAGGCCCATTTCATCAAGGCCGAAAGGGGGGGAGACCTGGTGAAATTGACCTTCCAACTAGCATGACAGAACCATTTCCGGCGTCTCCCGCGACACAAGGTGTTGTTATATCCATGCTTTCCCGGTCCTTGACTTTCCGGTCCATGTCCGGTACCGGAGCCCGGAACCGGACGGAATATCTTTGGACCCAGTGCGGATCATCGGGTTTTTATGCAAAGAAGAATTACTGAGCGTTTCCCGTTTATCCGTCTTTATAATCCATGTTCTTATTGTCAATTTCTCCGACATCACTTCTCTATCCTCTTTGGGACTCGTATTATTGTTATGTCTGACAGGTCACCTGACTTGCACCTTTTTAGGATTACAATTAGGACTTAGCTATATAAGCCCCTTACATATGCCATGTACTTCAGTTTGATAATTAACATTGCTTTGCTCTCTGCTTTGCACTGAGTCGTCCTCTGGTTAATTCCCCAGACTTCCTTCCTTCACCGGCCTCGGTAGCACACACATCCTACTATCCTGTGGTGCTTGCGTTATCTCCCCATATACTTTCCGGAAGTTCCGATCCTCCGGTTCCCGGTTCCGGCTCCAGAGTCTCTCATTTAGTCCTTCCCTTGGCTCGGTATATAACAGTATTATCAAACTCACCTATCCTGGCTGGTTATGTCACACTTACCCTCTAATCCTGTGGCACCTGATATTTCTGAGGGTCGTCGCAAATCTCATCTCTACTCGCGGATTGTTCCTTTGTCTTCACCCTCTCATTCCATGTCGACTATTCCCTCTGGTCCAATTGCTCTTCCTCCTAACGTCGCTATTCGCACACGCTGGACAGCTGCAACAACAGCTCCGGTCTCCCTCTCCGCTCCGACAATCTTTCCGGTTAATGTTCTGGGACTTGTTCAAAGTCCTCACACTCCAGATAATCCCACTGTTTTTCCACGATCTCCATATCTGGGTCGTGCTCGAGCCATCCAGCAGAGCACATCACCGATTCCTTATCCTCCTATTGCTGAGGATGTAGAGGAATCCGGGTCTACCAGACTACCTCCAGTTCCTCAGGCCGAGGAACCTGGCGATGGCAGTAGTGATCATTCACCCTCCGGTTCGGAGCACGGAGACCCTCCTGATCCTGATGATGATAATGGAGGTGATCTTCCCAGAGATGGTGGTGGCAGTGATCATCCTGGAGGAGGTGGTGGAGGTTGTGGGGGTGGAGGTGGAGGTGGTCCTGGCGGTCCTCCACCTGGTCCCAGTCCCAGACCTGCACCCGGTCTGGCGGGCCCTCCTCCTCCAGATCCCGAGTCTCCGGAACAGTTGCTTGTCAGCACTATCCATACGTTCCGGGATGCAATTCAGTCATATGTCACACATTCCTCGGCTCCACCTCATTCTACTCGCTCGGATCTCCGCAATCCTGATACTTTTGATGGCTCTGACTCTGCGAAACTCCAGTCTTTTCTCACTCAGTGTTACCTGCATTTTGCGGAACGTCACCAGGATTTTATTTCAGACGATGACAAGATTTCCTATATCATGTCATATCTCCGGGGCACTGTTCAGCAGTGGTTCGAACCGAATCTTTACGACTCCGGTTCCATTCTGGCTTGGGACGGAAATTTTCTGTGTTTGGTTCAGGAACTCCAGGAGAATTTTGGTCCACAAGATCCGGTGGGAGATGCTGAAGATCTCATCCGGTCTTGCCAGATGAAAACCGGAGACCGCATTGCTACTTATATCATCGGTTTCGATCATCTCGCAGTCCTTACTCAATGGGGTGACAATGCCCTGCGACATCAATTCTACGAGGGTCTTCCTCGACGGCTCAAGGATGAAATGGTTCATCACAACTATGTCAACACCTTGCTTGGGGTCAAAGATATTGCCTGCCGGATTGATGCTCGCTATTGGAAACACGAGTTGGAGAAGCAGCGAGAGCGGGAGCATGAGAAAATTAGCAGTGGTGGTACTGGTTCCAGAAATTCCGGTCATCAGTCAAAAGATCACAGAAGCGTCAACTCATTGTCTAAACCGTCTAATTTCCCTTCCAGTCAGAAAACCTTCGGAAGGCAGTCTGGCAACCCTTCCTTGTCACCATCTTCGATGAGGGCCACTTCCGGTAGACCAGCTCAGCAGTCTTCCATTAGGACTCCAAAGCCGTATGCCGACAAACTCGATAAGCACAGGAGACTCACCAAAGACGAAAGGGAACACCGATTTCGACTCAATCTCTGCATGTTCTGCGGAGGCACCGGTCATTCATCTTCGGAGTGTCGGAAGCGTCCGGAATACGCTCAAGCGAAGGCAGTATCTGCAGCGGCTGAAAAGCCTACTACAACCGCCGAAACCTCCGAGTCAAAAAAATAATCAGTAGCTCAGATACCTCAGCATCCGGTCCGAGTTGCATTGACTCCGGGGTGCTTCCTGAGGTTTGCCTCAACGCTTCCACTCTTTCCCCTAATGCCCTTTACGTCGATCTTCACGTCTCTATGTTCCGGTCGGACTATACCCATTCCGGTCCGGAAGAATATGCAACCATATCTCCTTCCATACTGTCACAAATTGCGTCAGGATTCAACTCCCGCTTGCGGACTCTTATTGATTCTGGTTCTTCTCATTGTTTTATATCGTTGAAAGAATGCGAAAAAAATGGGTTTTTACCGTATGCGGTTGCTCCGGTTAGACTCCGGTATCTCGACGGCTCTTCAACAATCATTAATGGGCAGCTCCGTCTGCTAATCCGATTCCCATCTGGCGATGTCCATCCTATGGAATTTTTCGTTACCCGTCTTGATTCACCCTGCGACTTGGTTTTGGGATACACTTGGCTCAACCGCTTTAATCCGTTGATTAACTGGTCTGACGCTACTATATCATTCCGTTCCGGTCAATTCGGTGATTCATTGTCAACACCACAGACAGCTATGCCTGTTCCAGCTACGGTAGTTCTGATTACGGACGAGGAATCTCTGATTCCAGTTTTTCCGGACGAGAAACCTACACCGACTCCAATGTCTTCGCCAGATTCCGGTCCTTCGATGGATACTTCCGAGGCTTCTCTGCCTTTTCCAGAGGCTTCTAAGCCTCATCCATTCACTTCCGTTCCCCTTGTGTCACTGGTATCCGCTGCGGCTTATAGTGCTATTATTCGAGACAAGGATACTGTTCAGTATACCTTGCATGCTTGTCCTACAGAGGATGCCCAAGCTCGTTCTGCTTCAGCTGACGTTCCGGACCTCTCTGGTCTTCCTCCGGAATATCACGACTTCGCCAATGTGTTCTCGGAGAAGGAGGCATACAATCTTCCTCCTCATCGAGAATATGACCTTAAATTTGAAACTCAGGAAGGCGAGGATCCTCTGGTCAGCCATGTCTACTCTCTCTCCCAGAACGAGTTAGCTGCCCTTCGGGAGTTCATTGACAACAACCTTAAGGTCAGATTCATATATCCATCTCGGTCTAGTCATGGGGCTCCAATCCTCTTCGCTAAAAAGAAGGATGGTTCTCTCCGGCTCTGTGTTGATTACCGAGGTCTAAATTGGATCACGAAAAAGGATACCTATCCACTTCCACTTATCACCGACCTCCTAGATGCTCCTGGAAAAGCACGAATTTACACCAAACTCGATCTCCGGCACGCCTATCATCTTCTCCGGATTGCTCCTGGCGATGAGCCCAAAACAGTGTTCCATACTCGCTATGGCTCGTACAACTTCCGGGTTGTTCCGGAAGGACTTACAAATGCTCCGGCTGCCTTCCAGCGATTCTTGAACACTATTTTCGCTGATCTGC